CCAGAAGAGGGCCACAAAAATGATTAGAGGGCTGGAGCACTTCTTCTATGAGGAAAGACTGAGAATTTTAGTTGTTCAGTCTGGAGAGACTTTATTGTGACCTTTTGATATATAAAGGGGGACTTACAAGAAAGAGAGAGACTTTTTACCAAGGCCTGTAGTGACAGGACAAGGGGCAAAGGTTTTAAACTGAAAGAGAGCTAAGTTTAGTCTTAGGATGTAAGGAAGAAATTATTTATAACGAGTGTGGTGAGACACTGGAACAGGTTGCCCAGAGAAGCTGTGGATGCCCCACCATTGCAAGTGTTCAGGGTCAGGCTGGATGGGGCTTTGAGCAACCTGATGAAGAGAAAGACATCCCAGCCCATGGCAGGAGGGTTGGGCTAGGTGATATTTAAAGGCCCCTTCCAACCCAACCCATACTATGAAGAAAGTGAGTAACAGAGAGAAAGGCAGTCTCTTCTGCAAAGATTATTAATCTATATATGCAGAAAAGCCTTAACTGCTGTTTAAGCCAGCCATATACTTTTGAACTATGGATACATTCATATTCTGTGACTTGAGACTGGAAAGTTTTCCTTTGCAGTGTCTGTGGAGGGCATTATTTATCCTTTTCCTCCTCCTTTTTATGCACATAGCATATAAAAGTGGATTGCATGGGTTGCCATTTCAGAATAGATCTTCCACCTCACAAGTGTTTTTTCAAATGCATAGCATTTTGCACTTTTTTTTTGCCATATTGATGACTTTATCCATTGCCTCTTTATATTTGCATAGTACCACTGTAGTGAATGTTACGAGCATTCATGATGCAGTTGTTGCTTGGATGATAACACAGAATGGCTCTGCTTCTCTGACAAGGTGTGAACAGAAAATTAAGCTCCAGAACTATCTTCCTGAGAGGGCTATGGAGGTCTTTTTCAGTTTTCCGTGCAGTAGAAAAGTTCTCTTCAGGTGGTCCTTCATCACTGAGGAAGACGTTCATAATGAGAAAGAAAAGGTAGCTGCCACTACATTGTAATTTAAACACACTGAATCATTTAGGGGTCCTGAGGTTGCTTTAGTTAGCCTGTCTGTCTAGATTGACCTTAGGTTTTGGAGTCTTTGGGCTCTGATTTTAAGAGGTTACCAGTATAACCACATCAGTTGATGTAGCCATCTTCTTGGTCTGAAATATCTACTATGTCTCAGAAATTTTCAGTAGTGCATTAGTTCTCCTCACATAAGAGGTGGGAATTTGAACTTACCTATCCTGATCATCAGTAATTCACGAGCTAGAATGGAGGTTGCTAGGATCCTGAGCCTCATTAATATTTTGCATGTCTGGTCCCTTTCTCAATTTTACTGTCTTTTTAGTGACTTTTGGGGAACTTAACCAAGCTCTTTGGAAGTCCCTGGCTTCTCATTACCCAATGGCCAGAGAAGCTTACCGGAAACACCACATACTTGGAGATAACATAGTAACTGTATGTGTACACATTAGCTTGTTTTCTGATTTACAGTTGCATCAGAGGAGCCTGAAATCAGAGTTTGTAAGAGCAGGGAGGTTAAGATGGTAGTTAGGCTCCTGAAAAGGGCTTCATTTTTTTGGTATTACATTATTTCTTCTATTTCTTTACAGGCTGCCATTGACATGGTAGATAAACTTCTCCTGTTATATTGCCTTTTCTCCCCGCCTTGCTTTCGTGCCTTCTAAGGAGACAAAATACTATGTAAAAAATTTGTCCTGTGTTGATGTTTCCCTTTGCTGCTGCTGTGAATTCTGTACTGATTTAATTGACATAGTTTGCCCTCTTTCACATAGTTTGTTCAGTCTCTTGGGAACTCTCTCCTCTAATGGAAACTTCATTCCGCTTCATGTTCTTCATAAAGATAAGATGTCACCTGGTCAGGTCACTTAAGGCCTAAAGATAATGAAAAAAATAGTCTCCATTTAAGTTCTCTGCAGATCTGTCCTGCTCAGAATACATGAAGACCTTTCAGGCCTGTCTACAGAGAACTGAATCATGGGTAAGTCATAGATAGTCAAAGATATACTCTGCTTTGTAAACTATCATTTCAGCAGAGAGAAAAGAGGAGCAGCAGTGCATTCATTACACCTTCTGAAATGGAAACTTTCTAGTTATAGCTGACAGGGCACAAGCTTACCTGCAGTTAAATTGAAAATGTCAACAGCATGTCTCTGAAAATGTCTCAGTGTGCCAGGAACTCTGATTTTTTTCTTTATTATATACTTAGTTGCTCATTGGGAAAAAAAAAAAATCGAGGGTAGATTTGAAGGGTTTTGCCTAGGCTAAATTAGACGTGCTTTGCAAGCAGTTTACTTCCAGTGAATATTCTGGTATCGTTTCTCACAGGACTGCTTACCAGGACATACACAGGCAGGTCTGCACAAAGATTCATAAGCTGCCAAATAAAATGTTTTGTTTTGCAGCAGTTTAATTGAAATGGTCCCATGGAATATCTATAAGTTAATGAATCTGAACAGTGAAGTCTTTATTGCGAATACAGTCATCACTATTTTGTTGAATTTTGTCTTTAGCAAATCATGTGACAAATGATACTTGCTGGAGAGGATGGAAGGTAATGACAGTTCCGTGAACTAAGTTGTTGGCACAGTTTAAAAGCCACTTGCATTCCAGCCATTCCTAATGTATGGTTAGATCCATTTTCTGTTAACCTGCAAAGATACAGAATATAACCTTAGAATTAAAAGAATTAGCAGAGCAATGGGAAAAAGATTAAAGTACTTGCAGTATCCACTGCTACAAAATACTCCTGGAGAGTTAGATCTTGCCACCTAGTGCTAGGAGCCTTGGCCTAGATAGCAGCCTCTAGCCTTGTTGTGTCTTCTTAACAGCATGGAGTTGTTATGCTACAGATACATATCAAGCAAACCAGTCCTTCAGTGTTAGCATCACAAATCTTGATGACTAGGAATGGAATGAAGGATATGAGAAATCTTTCAAATCTGATTATGGAAAAGATGTTGCTTTATTTATGTATTTAGTTATTTTATTATTATTTATTATTTAGTTATTTATTGATTGTTTTATCTTGGCAACTGACAGATAGACACAAGCCATTTTGATTGCTGCGGTTGGCTGTGGGCTTGTTTATTTGAGCTTGTTTTCTGTTGCAAGCAGAGGGTTTTGTAGTTGGCATGCCTCTTTTTTTCTCAGTTTTAAGAAGAATGTTTCTGTAGGTAATTCTGATCCATCCAAAGAAAGTAAAAGCTGATACACGAGTACACCTTCACTTCCCCATCATGTTGCTGTTTTTTTCTTTCTAGGCATCAGCTTCCATCCTAGTTGTATTTTTGCTATTCATTGTTTCTGCAGTTTTTCTTTGCATTCTTTTCTGATATATTTCTCTATTTCATTTTATGGAGTTTTCTTTTTGTTTTAAAAATTGACTATTCCTGATCTTGTTTTGCACACTAAATCTTAATACGACAGGAAAAGTTTGATCATTATATGCATGCTAGCCAGTTTGGACTATGTGTCAGTGAAATTCTCCTTTGGTCAGTTGATTACTGGATGAATTCTTGGCTGTACATTTTGAATAGTTTTTGATAATTACATGTTTCAAATTTTTCTTAATTTGCTGGGCATAAGAAAAATGCATGTTGTCAGCTGCATTTGAGTGGAAGTAGGTGGTCTTTCTGCAATAAACACTACACAATGTCTATGCTAGATTTTTATAAATCTGCTAATTCTGCATTGCAATTTTTCTTGCTCTATCACTGAGCGAGGATGAAAATCAATTATCCATGTTTGTCCTGAGTTATTAGTTCTGCCTTTAGCAGTACAGAATTTATTAAAGCAAGATGTGATATGTTCCACACCTTCCATACTCCAGCACCTATATAGCGAGTGATGTGCCAACTCTCTTTGTAAAAACTTGTAAGTAGAAATTGAGTTTAATGTAATTTCAGTAATTCACTTTTGGGATGGAACATAAGTTGACTGTTACGTAGAGGTATAAATACATTGCAGTGCTGTATTGTCATACTAAATTTATACAAATACTTGATTATGTGCAACAGTAACATCTGAGTTTCTCCCATTTGAAGCGCATTATAAAATTGTTTCTGAACACTTGGTTGTGATAGAGAAAATCTATGTGGAAGATGTCAATGAAAGTAATGTGTGCCATTGAGCATTATTATAAAATGATTAAAAAGAATATACAGAAATTTTTTAATGCTACATGTAGCTATATTTGAGCATTTATTGTGGTATTGCATGTTAGTCAGTGATACATTTTAGCTGAGACAGAACCTGCTCCAAGTGCAAAATAAAATACAACTATGTCCATCAGTGTAATATCTATGCTAGAATTTACAATCATGGTAATTCTGAACTTTTCTCATTTGCTGAAGATACGAGCATTGTTCTGCTGTACTTGTCTGCCACCAGCAACTCTTTGAATATCTTTTATGTTACTAAATCACAAAACATGCCTATAAGCATTGCTCAACAGATATTTTGAGGAAAGTAGCCTTACTTACATCTTCAAGGGAACACAGTCCTCTCCCTGTTTCAGAAACATTACCTTCATTCTTAAAGTGCATATGTAGTTTCTCTTTAGGCATCATTTACAGAGAAAATTTTTTATCCTTCTGGTATACTATCAATGTACTCCATTTAATACCTAGCATTTTTGTAGGCCAGTTTTAATATATACAGGCCATCCTTTTATCCTTGTGGTACATTTTCTACAATAGAAATGCTGAAGAGTTGAAGATTTGCAATTTGGTGTTGTAATGTTAATGTTCCAGTGACAAGACTTAATTCACAGACTGTAATGTTGCTTCAGTCAAGCGTAGGCGTACTGTCCACAGCACTAGATGATGCTTCCAGTCTACAGAAGTGTTGTGCAGTGTACACGCACTGGTAACCTTTGTGCTCCAATTTAGTTGTGACATTTAATAAGTTCCATTTGATCACATTACACTATTTTTTCTCTCTTCCTGTTTTCCTCCAAAAATGTTTTAGGTAGAAGAGCTGATGATGGCCATGGAGAAGGTTAAGCAGGAGCTGGAGTCAATGAAAGCAAAATTGTCCTCTACACAGCAGTCTCTGGCTGAGAAGGAAACCCATCTGACCAACCTACGAGCTGAAAGAAGGAAGCATTTGGAGGAGGTCCTGGAAATGAAGTAAGTGTTTCTTTTCATTATTTGTAGGCATGTTTCATTGATATCTCTGAATTCTCCTCCGATCCCTGGTGTTCTAAAGACAATCACTGCATGAATATGTCTCTGTAGATAGCAGCTGTCTGTGTAATCAGTCGAGCCTTCACACGTGACTTCTGACCAGGGATTACCTACATGAATTTCACACTTCTGTTAGAGCTCAAAAACATTTCTTCCTTCTGATCATTTGCAGTAAATTACTATTATTTGCACAATTACATCTTGAAAGATCCTAAACAATTATTGGGACTCAGTTATTTTGTGTGTTTTATGAATGTGCCATCTTGCTTTGAGTAGCCTATAATCTACTTCAAGGTAAGATGCAAGTCCATGTAACAAATAACAAAAAAAGAAAGAGGGAAGAGATAAGCATAATGTCAGGTGCTTGTAATGCTAAAATCAGACTGCAGATGTCTGGTCTGCTAAAGTATTTTTCACACTCATGAAGATGATTCATTAGCACTGGAACAGAGTTTGAAGTTCTCTATCAGTCAGACTTTTCCCATCATCTTTACATGTGGAAGCCTGAATAAAACCAAGATTTGAGGAGGTGGGGAGAAGTGAGGAATTAGACTTCTAAGGCTTAAATACTTCCTAATTTCTGACTGTGCATTATAGATAAATAGTTATCCTTAGTTGAGGGAGACATGAATCCATTTAGTGCAATGATGGATAGTGCTGCCAGCAGTTCATTAGAAACACTTTCAGTTGTTTAGCCAGACCTGAAGAGAAGGAGCATTTTTATTGGCAGGACCAGCAGTGGTTCCTCCACTGTGGTTTTGTGAGCCATTATTTATTTATTTAACTTTTCTACACTAGTCTCTTTCCTTTTCTATTTTTTTTTTTTTTTTTAATGAAAGGATAGAAAAACAGCTGTTACAAAATGGAAAGAGAGGTGGCTTAGATCTTGAAACTCTAACTTAGGAGTGCTGTATAAAGTGGGCCAAGCCTCCCCAGCTTCGTATTCAGCTACAACAGTCTGATCTAGACCTGGCATAAGAATGTTGGAAGACTGCAGTACTTAAAAGCCACACTTTATTTTTAATAAAAAATTTTATTGAGCTATAAATTTGACTGCCTTGAGAGTTGGTGTGTTGGAGGATGGGAAAAATAGCTCTTAAGGTGATGTGGGAATCCAGAGCAACTGGAGATATATCCCATATCCAATCACTTGGCAGTACTTTCTTCTGCCAAACTGCCCTGCCAAACCTTCTCATGAAAATATACACGTAGTGTACAGTATATCCTGAAATGTATTTGGAACTGTGTAGCTCTAGAGCCTTTAATATAACTACTCGCTTCTTCTAAATGATGACCTCTCTTAGCTGAGTAAGTTATTGTTGGAAAGTTGTTGTACTGAAATGTAGTATCAGGAACTGCATAAACTGGTAGATCCATTGTACCTCAGAAGGAAGAAGAACACTGGAGAGAATGGTAATGCTGTCAGCACATGGAGAGAAAGATGGAAAAAACATTACATTTGTATAGTTAACTAGCTGAGCATGTTTTAGTCATAGCTGGTCTGTCTTAAAGTTCTATGAAGCTGCCAAAGGCATCCAAACTTCAAAAACTCACCCTCACCACGAGGCTCTATTGCAAACAAGTCTCTCCTGAGGACTCCCAGTCAATTAAATATCTTATATTTATATACAGAAACTCCAGTATATTCTTTGTTGCCTCTTTCTCAGCCTGTGCCTTTTATGAAAAGCACTCTTGTCATCTGTTTTCTAGTTTTGCAAAAAGTTTCTAAAGTTGTTAAAATGTTTCCTACTATTTCAATTCAAAAGTAACAGTAATTGAATGAGTGGTCAATTTTGGGGGGCAGTTAGCTGGTTTTGGTATTCTTGATAGAAAACAATAGCTGTTGAACAGATACTGTTCAAAGATACAGTAAAACAATATTGTTTGCCAGGTTTTAGGACATGCTTCACTGGGAAAAGTTTGAGGTGTTCAAAAGCAGCACAGATTAAATTTGAAATTTGATAGAGGTGGAAGTTAACAGCCTGGGCCCTGCAGTCAACTAATGAGACAAGGGAGCATACAAGAAAAATAGTTTAGGAAATGCTACTTTAGAAGATTCTAGATATGGACTGAAAGAAAGTGTTAAAGCAACAAGAGGACCTCAGAAAGTTACCTCTGGGTTTTAATAGGAAGTTGTTAGATATTATGTTAGTGAAAATACACATTTAAAATACTGTTTCTTAGAGTAGAACTTGTGTTTACTACTGACTCTGTAACCCTGAGAAGATCATTTCACACTCCTTAGGGAGTACTGTGGCACTATAGTAGCTCAAGTGTGAATTATTCCAAAGAAGAAATTTCACTCCTTAAAGAAATACTATGTATTTTGAAGCCCTCTTCCTTTAAGTCTAATATTTTCATTTTCTTTAAAAAAAAAAACTTTGTTGTATGTAATTATGAGAGCAGTAGATAATGGTCTCTCTATATCACCAAACCTGATCTACTGTAAAAAAATAGTAGTGAACTGCTAGGATTTTTGTTTTGTTATGTTTTCTTTAAGAAGTTCTAATGTTTCCATCATTCACAGCAAATCTTTTAAATTAAGCAGGAATAAAGTGCTGTCTACAGAGAAATCTCTGTTCTTTGTCCCATAAAAACCTGCTTGGGCTGAGCTGAGTTATAAACTGTTGAAAATCACCAGTTTTCCTTTCCTTTTTTTTTCTCCTGGTGTTGTCAGCAAATTTTGGCAGTGTGTGAAAATAACCGAGCACAAACAGACTAATCTGGAGCCGAGCTCATGCAATTGCCAAAACTGTAGCAGCGGACACTGCACTTACAGGGAAGGGGAACAGACACTGTGTCTGCATGTAGAGAATTTTTTATTTTTATTTTTTTTGACTAGGCAGGCCTTTTGTTATGGTCAGAAGGACCAGAAGGTTCTTCCTAGTCATCTGCTTCAGAGTTGAAAAGTCCCGGTTGGAGCATTTCTCAATCTGTTCTTTCAGACCTGGAAAACTGTCCAACAGCCTTTGCCTGAATTATGCCTTCTCTTGCTAATTGCAATTGCTGCTAGCCCTATAATTCAAGGGATGCAGACTTACATAATGCAGTTGGTGCTTCAGGGTTGAATCCTTCATCCTCCTGGCACACAACAGAATGATTATTACTTGTCCGAGAATAATTGACTATCCTCTTTTTTCTTTAGAAATAATAAGGATGTTACAGATGAATGAATTGTTATAATAGAACATAATTTATGTTTCAAAATCAAGCTGTCAAAAAACATCTTGTGATTTCTTATGTGACTTTACATGAGTAGTCGTCTGAATTTTTATCACAGTAGTCTCTAATTACATGAATACATCCCACAGATAGTGTTTCGTTTGATACAGAGTGTAGGCGGTGATCAGAGATGAACCAGACCTGTGTAGCTTAATGAGGCTGTTCATTGTATTCCTTCCTTATTTTATCTCAGAGTTGGAAGGCCTGCTGAGAGCTACATGAGAGCTACTATTAAAAATAAAATACCAACCTAGGCAGTGCTATGCAGGAAGACTGTTCCTCCTTATCTCTGCTAAAGTTTTCCTGCATGATATGCAAGTCACTTAAAAATATATGATAGATGGTTGATAAGTCCACATGTTCATTTTCTGGCTGTTGGATGAGAAAAATACAAACATATGCACATGAGCACTCACAACTGAAAATTAAGTCAGTGGAAGCTGAGGTTGTTTATCTTCTGAAAAGTTCATCCTTTCAGCAATAAAGCAGTATTGTCTAGAGGTATGAGTATGAGGTTGAAATTGAAAGTAGTCCAAAAGAAACTGATTAATCGGCACATACTTTATTTGCCAGAAAAGTAATTTCAGTTGATCCAAAATGAGGTGTGAAGTAGTTTCAAACGCAGCAAACAGTTTAACCAAACAAAAATGTTTCAGCTTATGTGCACCCATGGTGAACAGAACCAGGGAAAAAAAAAAAAAAAAAACAGACAGTATCAATGTCCATCCAATGATAACTTGTCAGTTTATCAGTAATTGTCATCTTGGAAATTAAAGACTTTTTTTTTTTTTTAGTTGTCATTAGAGAAATTATGGCTTATGCCTATGGTTTAACAACAGTTCGCCAGAGGAGAAGTGATTCCTAGTTGCAGAAGTGTGTGTATGTTCTACATCTATTAACAGTTGTCTCTGTAGTTTGAAGTTACTTCACATTTGTTCTCAGTGCTACAGCACAGTAATATGTTAACCTTGCATCTGCGAGGTATGGCTTTCTAGGCCCAATGCAGACTTCATCATATTGAAATGGACTATAAGGTCTATGGGCCACTTGCTGTATCAGGCCGTCATGTGATTGCAGCAGTGGTACCAAAGGATCTCCTATAATTACTTTGTGTGAAATTAAATAAGCTAAAATCCCACAGGGGGCACTCCATGTCCACAAGATTTACTGTCTGGGGCAAAGCTGAACAAGTGCATCTGAGTCAGTCCCTTTTTTTCTTCTAAAGACTTATATTTTTTTCCTTTAAAATGTCTTTTTCAAGGCACACGGTGAAAATGAACATAACTGTATCATATTACCTTTGTCTTGTCCTTTTTAATTTTCAAGCATAAAATGTATTAGCATATATGTTTGTTTTAACTATGGTCACCCAGTTAGATGTTGACATTTAAATTGTCAAAAAAGTTCAGTTGGTGTAGTCTGAAATGTGAAGAATTATCCCTTTCTAATTACTGAACAATACAGACATTACATTTAAATAATTGGAAATAAACTGACTTTGGGACTGCTGTTAATCTGGAAGTAAATCACACAGAATCCAATAGGAAAGCTGAAATACAGTGTATAGATACATTGTGTGTCTTTTAAGGCTAAACTTTATTGAAAAGCCAGAATTTTTTTTTTTTTTTTATTCCACAGTTCTCACTGTAATGAAACATTAGGCTTTTCATAAATGTAATTGTAGATCTTGCTTACCTTCAAATTTTCTGGCTTCTGCTGTT